TTCAGGGTTTTATATATGTCTCCCCATTGCCTTCTTGCCTGCATGGTTTCTGTTGAGAAATCTGAGCTTAATCTGATTTGCTTGCCTTTGTATGTTAAACTTCTCTTTTCCCTAGTTGCTTTCAAGATCCTCTCCTTATCTTTGATTTTGGAGAGCTTGATTATTATATGTCTTTGTGATTGTTTTTTAGGGTCTATCCATCCTGGGCTTCATTGAGCTTCTTGAATGCTTATCTTTTTGTTTTTCAGAATGTTAGGAAATTTTTCTTCCAGAAGCTCTTCAACTATCTCCTCTGTGGACTTGTGTCATTGTTCTTGTTCTGGAATGCCAATAATTCTTAAGTTATTCCTCTGCTTTCTCTTCTAGCTTAATAGTGTTGAGAGATTTGCCTTCTAGCTCGCTAGTTCTGGCTTCTGTCTCTTCAGTTCTACTCCTTTGCCCTTTCAGTGTATTGTCCATTTCTGATATTCTATTATTAACCGTTTTAATCTCTTTCTGTAGGTTTTGAATTGTTTCCAATGCTGTATCTCTCTTATTTGATTGTTCCTGTAGAGCTTTCCTGACTTCTTACTTATTTTTCTCAACTCCATTATATAGTGTTTTGATACATTTTATAATCATTTTTCTGAATTCCTTCTCAGGCATTTCTAAAGCCTTTCCATCTTCCAGTATGGAGTGTAGGTCTACTTCCAGCTAATTTGCCTCAATCACTTTATCTCGTTTCTGGATATGTACAGATATGGTCATCTGCTTCTGTTTTTTTGCATATTCAAAAAATATCTGTGGTTATCTGTGGTTATCTGTGGCCTTAATACTTATAAGGGTGTGTATTTTGGTGTTTTTTATGCTTTCTGATTGCCTCTATGTAAATGTGATCAGGAAATGGGCTTCCCTTTTCACTCTTCTTCTTGAGAAATTTCAAGATGCCACTGTTACTTGTTTTGATGTAACTTAGGATTTAATTTTCAGCCTATTTCTTTTTCTGTCTACCTGTCCCACTCCACAATCCCCATTCAGGCCTTTTTTTTAGTTATAAACAGTTCAGGGCCAGCTGTGGCCGTTTGCTTTTAAGTGGAAACTGTCTCTTTAAATTTCGAGGAGATCTGTGCACATGCGTAGTAGAACACTCCGAGGGTGCTGCTGGGGTGTCCACTAGCTCAGGCACCCCTATAGTCACCAGAATGGAGGTGCACAGACAGCAAGGGACCAATGAAGAGCTACCAAAAGAAAAGAATGTCCACACCTTTATCTCCACTGTTCTGTCAGGCGTCCGTGGCTGCTCTGATCCTTCCCCACTTGGTCTCACTCAAGATGGCGGCTCTTGGAGCAGCTGAGCATCCCAGACTAGAAAGCAATGGATTTCTTGCTTCTGCTACAAATTGCCCTAGCTGTAAGCCCTCCAAACTTCTAAATATTCCTTTATATGTGGTTCAGAGTTCTGGGACCATTCCCTGAGCCTGCTTGGTCCTGTGTTCTGTGTTGTTGCTGATGGAGTTCCTTACTGCACTTCCACCAGATCTGCCATCTTGTTTGTTCTCGAAATGTTCTTTTTAATGATGAATGTGACGCCATTCCTCCTGCATTTGTCATTCCTGGCATGCTAAACCATATGATTGTCATATTTTAAATGGCTAATACCAGTCCTATTCAGTTCACTCATGCCTAGGATATTAATCTTTACTTCATTTTTAACAAATTCCAATTTTCCCAAATTCATACTTCATACTTTCCATGTTCAGATTATTAATGGGTGTTTGGAGCTGTGTCTCATTTTGAGTTGTGCCCCATCAGCAAATGAAGGTCCCCAAAGCTTTACTCCATTTATGTCATTAAGGTCATCTCTACTTTGAGGAGGTAGCACTTCCTCAGTTGTATTTTGAGTGACTTCCAACCTGAAGGGCTCATCTTCTGGCACTGTATCTGGCAATGTTCTGCTACTACTCATAATATTTTCATTTTCCAGCACTATATCTCTCAATGGAGTCCTGGTGTGGTGCTGTGAGTTAATGTGCTGGAAAGCAAAGTCAGTTTGAACTGTAAGGTCGGTGGTTCAAGCTCACTAGCTGCTCCTCAAAACCCTATATAAGGTCACTATGAGTCAGAACCGACTCAACAGCACTTAACAACAACAAATATCTCTCAATGTTCCACTGCTATTCATAAGTTATTCAGTGACTAAACATTCAGAAGTAGCCCACCTCTCCTTCTTCCTAGTCTGTTTCACTCTGGAAGTGCTGCTGAAACCTATCTACCAAGTATGATCCTGTTGATATTTGAAATACAGGTGGCATAGCTTCCAGCCTCACAGCAACATGCAAGCCACTACAGTACAACAAACCGAAAGATGAGTCGTAGCAGCTGACCAAAGGTGGGTGGATTAACTTCTGAATCTTAATTCTGTTCCATTGTATCCGTGTCTTTTATTGTACCTGTACCAGACTGTTTTGTCTACTGTGGTTATGTAGGCACAGGTTTTCATACTGGGAAATGAAAGGGTTCCTACTTAGTTCTTCTTTTTTAGAAATACTTTGCTTATTTTGTTTCTGTCTCCTTTGCAAATATAGTATGATTAGTTTCCCATCTGTTCGAAGGATGTTGTAATCTGGACTGGTATCGCATTACATCTATATGTTGTTTGGGGTAATGTTGATATTTTCACAATGTTAAGTCTTCCTATCTATTGTTGTTGTTGTTGCTGTTAAGTGCCATCGAGTTGGTATTGACTCAAAGCGACACTATGCACAACAGAATGAAAAATGGTCAGTCCTGGGTGACCTCACAATTGTTGCTACACTTGAGTCCATCGATGCTGCCACTTGGCCAATCCATCTCACTGAGCGTCTTCCACTTTTTCTCTGACCCTCCACCTTACCCAACATGATATCCTTCTCAAGCAACTTGTCCCTCCCAACAATATGTCTGAATTATGAAAGGCATCCTGGCATCCAAGTACTACTCTACATGCACTTCTTCCAAGACAGATCTGTTGATTGTTTTGGCAGCCCATGATACTTTTAATATTCTTCTCCAACACCATAACTCAAATGCATCAATTCTTCTACAGTCTTCTGTATTTACTTTCAGGCTTTCACATGCATATGAGGTTATTGAAAATACCATGGCTTGGATCAGGTGCACCTTGTCCTCAAGCTGACATTTCTGCTCTTCAACACTTTAAAAAGAGGTCTTATCCAGCAGATTTGCCTAATGCAATTCATCATTTGATTTCTTTATGTTTGTTTTTCAAGGTTTTTATTGTGGATTGAGTGAAAGTTTACAGGGCACGTCATCAGTTTTACATTCAACAAATCATACACCTTGTTTCATTACAATGATCCCCTCCATGTACCATCAGTTAACAGTATTTCTCTCAATCCACTTTAGCCTTTTCAAAAGAAAAACCAAAAACAGAAAAACAAAAAAACCACTCAGGCATATATAATAAATCACATCTCCAAAGGGCATATTCTGCAAGTCTGCCTCCTGGCCACCAGCTCTTAGTCCCTCTCTTCCCATAAATCTAGAGTCCTCAGCTACTCCCCCTTTCCATGCCCCCATCTCTGCCTCCGTCTCTGGTGTTGCTGCTTCTGTCCCTATCTACCCTGTATACAGAGGAGATAGCATTGAATTGATACTTGATGTGAAGACTCCTTCCCTTTCTGTTGGTATTTAGGGTAACTACCTCTCTGAGTATAGGTCAGGTTCATCAAATTGTAGCAATTCTTTCCTTTATCAAAAAAATTTTTTTTTTCTTTTTTTTGTAATCTTTCACAAGCCAAGTTCTGATTATTGAGCCATTGTAGCTAGGTCAAATGAGTACTGTCTGCAACTTTGGGTGTTGTGCATCTCCCCACTTCATATCAGCTTGATGCTTCACTCTCAGCTCTAGCCCTCTGTGGCTATGTCCTTGTTCATGGGCTCAAGTGTTCTCAGGTGTCACCGCACTTTGGACCAACCAGCCCTTCCTTTTCTCTCTCTC